TCTTCCCGGTATTTAAAAACTCTGCTTATGTCAACATTTGAGAGATCTGCAAACTCAAGAAACCAATAGTTTCCAAATGACCAATGCATTATGTTACAAAATCACACCTGGGTAAAGATTAATTTAAAAATAATTGCAGTTTTGGGGCGCCTGGCTGGCTGAGTCGGTAGAGCACGTGACTCTCAATCTTGAGGTCGTGAGTTCAAGCCCCATAGTGGGCATGAAGCCTACCTATAAAAGGTGGCAGGGGTAGTTTTAATCCCATACCAAAAAACTGACTAATAGGATTTCAGATTCCATTTGTAACTAATCTTCAAGAAACTACCACTTACTGAGTGTTGGTGCAGCATCAAAGAAAAATAGCCACAATTACCTAAAAAAGCTATTAAAATGTTCCATTACTGAACTACGTATCTCTGTGAAGCCAAACTTTCTACACATTCTTCAACATCCTTCAACAGACTGAATGCTAAAGCAGTTAAGAAAATCCAGCTAACACATTTAAAAAGGGTTCAACTGGTAAATTCTTAATGTGTATTTAAATAGTTTTTTCAAGAATCCAGCAGTTTTTTATTAATCTGGACATTAAGGAGAAAATGTAAAGGCAAAAATGTAAAATGGTACCATTCTTCTCAGCAAATATCTTTGATTTTGAAAATACAGTTAAATTGCTGACTCACTATATTGTACACCTGAAAGTATAACACTGTAAGCTAACAATACTGAAATTTAAAATAAAATTTAAAAAATATATTTAACATATGATTATCTTTATAAAAATGTTATTTATATTAACATACAATGGGTACAATGGATTTGTTAATATTTTGAAATGAATTATAAGGAAAGATTCTCTTAAACATCTCAGTTTGTTTCAATTTCTAATATAATAAATATCAATAGATAAGGCACATAACCAAGAGCTCTTTAGTTTCTCTAATAATTTTTAGGGATATAGAAGGGTCCTGAGACCTAAGAGTTTATGAAGGGAACCACAGGCTGATGGAAAGCCTCATCAGTTGGCCACAGCTGTTCCTGATCATCTCAGTAGCAGAATCCCACCCGTTCCCAAAGCTGTTTCTGTCCCTCACTCCCTTTCTGGTTCTGCTACTGCCACTACCACCACCAGTCTCTGGGGGCTTGACCTTCAGCCTATTCTAAGGAAGTGAGCCTCTCTCCCAACCTCAGCAGACCACACATGCTGGGCATTTTCTTACAAGTGCAAAAGCAGCAAATACTAAGGGAAAACAACAAAAACCTGATTTATAGGAGCAAGTTTTACAAAGTACAGTTTCTCCAAACCTGACTTAGGTGGCCATGGGTTGGCTTGGCCGGTACAGTCTACCAGAGTATGAACAAGATTGATGAACGCCACGGCCTTATCCAGGCTTCTTCAGGGAAGACTATCCCTGCCCTTGGCCCATTACCCTGTGTGCCATAGCCCCAGTCTGCCTGTGATGCACTCAGTTCCCTTACCTCTTAGTGAGGCCAGTCTAGATCTCACATGGCAGTGCTCTTCCTATTTCAAAAACTCTCACCTCCTTATAAAATTCCCTCCAAGGATGCTAGTTCCTGCTGGGGAAAAGAGGTCTTTAGTGTCTCATGTGCAAAGTACAAATGATGCCAAGAGATGCATGGATGAGGAACTACTCAGCCACTCCTCTGGTGGTCAGCAACCATCTATCAACCCTGGGAGAGGGGTCCTGCAGAACTCTAATGATTAATAATCACTGTCCTATAAAAATCCCAACACTGAAATCACCAACCAACAAAAAGAGGAAAGTTTAGGCACATGCATACACAATAGAAAATTCAATGTTTTCTTTCAAGATTATTATTCCACAGCGAAGTACTGCAGGTGACATTGAACAGGAGGTAGAAACACAATCGTTATTTAAATCAGGCTGGCAAAAAAAAAAAAAAATCGGGCTGGCTAATAAAAGAAAACTCTGAAATTTCTTTACTTATGCTATTTGCTTCTTTTTAGTTTTTCCCTTTCATGGGCAGCCCTGGTGGCTCAGAGGTTTAACGTCGCTTCGGCCCATGGCCTGATCCTGGAGACCCGGAATCGTGTCCCATGTCAGGCTCTCTGCATGGAGCCTGTTTCTCCCTCTGCCTGTGTCTCTGCCTCTCTCTCTTTGTGTCTCTCATGAATAAATAAATAAAATCTTTTTTTTAAAATTTTTCCCTTTCTTAATTCTACCTAAAGGATTACCATCCTTCCTTCATTCCACCTGCCATTCAGCAAACCATATTCCTAACTTTCTTTGCCAAGGGCTAATTCTGCTCAAAAGCTGGTCCTCAGAATTAACACCTGTGTGCTCCTTGCTGGAAGGCATGTAATTTGGCCTGAAGAAGCCTGAATACATTGTCACCAGGGGCTGCCAGAACATCAACACCACAGCTGTTTGTCGTCTCCAATCATAGTTGCCAAACCAAATTTTCTGCTTCATCTTAGCTTGCCACCCAAGAACGTGTGTTTTAACGTGCACAAGACAGCCCACTCTAGGGTGCAGGTGAGCACAGAATTTCTTGACATGACTTTGAGAGAGAGAGAGGCAGAGACAGGCAGAGGGAGAAGCAGGCACCATGCAGGGAGCCTGATGTGGGACTCGATCCCAGGTCTCCAGGATCACGCCCTGGGCTGCAGGCGGCGCTAAACCGCTGCGCCACCAGGGCTGCCTTCTTGACATGACTTTAGAGGAAGCACTGAGCTGTCAGCTACAGGCTAGCACCACAGTGGCAAGCCTACATGCTTGGGTAGTGACAAGCTATCCAAGCTGTCAGGTGAAGCAAGGAGTGCACCTGAGCAAGCAAACTGCACTTAAAACAGGTACTTGGGTAGGGCACTTAACTGCCAGCTGGCAGGCAACAAGGGCCCAGACTGCCAGTTTGGGACAGGCGTTGGCAAAGGCTAAAGCTCAGAGTGCCTCAGTCCACCGTCAATTTGAGGAATGGCCCGAGCAGGGGGATAGACAGTAACTTTCTAAGTGTTGCCTATTAGCACTTGGGGAAGGTTTTGGTCACTGTGGCCAGCAGCTGATGATGATCTGCCCCAATGCACACCAGCAAATCTTTCCCCCAGTTGCTCCATAAGCCTAAAAGGTTGGCAATAGCTACCAGATATTCCCTTCATAAAGACATGGTTGTTGCTGTCAATTTGGAGTGATTGTGCACTCCATTTCAGCTTCCTAATATTTCAGAGGGGAAAATAAGATGTTTATAGATACCTTCTGACAGTTTCACCTTCTGTCTTTGTGACTCTCTATCTACTACAGGAAACAAAAAACAGTTCCAGACAATCCTTCTCACCTTTTTGGCTTGTGGCCCAAGGCAGAACAGAACAGAGGTTTGTCCCAAATGGTGTGAAAGGATGCTTCTTCCCCTCCCTCATACCCCACTATTTCTCCCTATCTTTAATAATAATTGCCTCTTACTTTTTGGATCATTTTCAAAATCCTAGTCCTGTGCTGAAAATTCTTTCAACCTTCTCTCTCAGTGACTGGCCACCCTATCTAAAATTTCACAGGTGCATGTGCACACACGCACACACACTCCATATCCTCCTTTTTGCTTTATGATTTCTCCTTAAAACTTAATGCAAAAGAAATTTTATATTTCACTTATTTGTTTGCTGCCTGACTGCCCTATTAGAACAGAATACCAGGATCCCTGGGTGGCGCAGCGGTTTGGCACCTGCCTTTGGCCCAGGGCGCGATCCTGGAGATCCAGGATCGAATCCCACGTCGGGCTCCTGGTGCATGGAGCCTGCTCCTCCCTCTGCCTATATCTCTGTGCCTCTCTCTCTCTCTCTCTATCATAAATAAATAAAAATTAAGAAAAAAGAACAGAATACCACGAGGGCAGGAATTTCTGTTTTGTTCACTGCTGTATCCCCAGCACTAGAACTGTGCCCAGCACAAAATAAATTATTTGTTGAATGAATGAATGAACAAGCCAGGGGTTCCTGGCCTGTTTCATATTCTGCAACTTGATTCTGTATTTTCCATTCATACCACAGAAACTTCAAAGGTCTCACTCATTCCTGACTCCACACTGTCCCCAAGGTCAGCTCCAGAAACCTTGAAAGGACATCTCCCATTCAAACAATCGAGCCTCTTGCCCTCCAAGTTGTCTAAAATCTGGCTCTATGTCTTATCAAGTTCGTCCTGCTATTGCTCATATCTGTTCCACCACCTCTAATGCCACTGCTGTCACCGTGGTTAAGGCTGCCATCAACCCTGCCTGGGATTTACTGAAACAACTTCCTAATTTCCTGTCTCATACCCTTCCAGCCTACATTCCCGATTACTAAAAAAGTAAGCCTTCTAAACTTACAAATTAGATCACCTAAGCCTCCTGCCTAAAGCCTATCAGTGGCTCCCTGTTACCTACAATATTGAATATAAACTCCTTCCCTTGAGCCCTCACCCTCCCTTATCCTAATGAACTACTGTATTTACAACCCACCAAGAACCATAACCCCAAGCCTTTGCTCATGTTACTCCCACTGCACCGAATGTTCTTTCATCTGCCTGGAGAGCCACTGCTCGGTCTCAAGATCCACCTCAGTATGTGCACTGCCATACAGCGTTCCTGACTTCGCACACTCTATGATCTTTAGAACTGTAAGCTTGCTGAGGTCAGGAACTGTGGTAACTCCATCTGCTCATCCACAGTACAGAGCACATCATAAGAGCACGATGAAAATTTTCAAAGAGTGAGCAAATGTGCAGAAATAATGAAATTCTCCCCTTCCACAAACCTTTTCAGATAAATTGCAGAGGAGTAGCTACTTTTCACGCTGCCAGGCTGGTTCTGGAGTGCCCAGTCTACAAATACTCATTTCTATAGAGTCCTCTACTAGGTATTTTTAACCTCATTATCAGAAAAGGAAATGGGAGGTAAAGGCTAATGCCTGACATAGTAGAGAGAAAATATCTCCACAAACTCCAAGACAGGTTAAAAGAAATTTTATTTTATTTACTTATTTTTTTAAACAGGGGAGAGCATGAATGCAGTCCCCTGCTACCATATATTATATGCAGTCGAGTTTCCCACATTTGGGGAAATCACAAGGGTCAGCACATCCAGGGTTCAAATGGATAAGCCACACCCTGGGAAAACCACCTTCATGATCACGGTATCCCCCTGCCATGTAAGTCTAGAAATTTTAAATATATAACTTTAACCTCATGTATAAAAAGGGTTTTCTACAAACTGTGCTATGTTCTCAATTTAGCAGATTTGTACAATGACAGGAGAACAGGACTGGGCAGCTTCAAAAAGAGGCAGGAAGTTGTGTAGACGTCCTATATTACTGGAGTCCCATCCACAAAGGTTTTCAAAATGAGCTGAATAAAGCAAAAATCATGGCCTCAGGGAAACAGTTAAAGGAGAGAATACCGTATAAAACTATCACTGTTTTAGCTAAGCCTTCCATCTTCCCCTACCTTCCATCCAGTTGTAAAACTTTTCCCTATAAATATACAACATACACAAACTTAAAAAGTTAATTTACCAAATTTACACTATTTGAAGGTAAAAAAAAATTAATAACCCATTCTAGCATATTGTGTCTTTGAGACCCTTGACTTGAAGTTGAAAATAAAATTATCCATAAGTTAACAAAAATGGGTATTGCCAAAGAGTCAAAGACTTGGCGACTTCCAGACACACTTGATGATCATATCTGTTTTTTGTTTTGATTATTCAAGAAATACACAAATTACCACTTACAAAACTGCTATCCTTGTCATAATGTCACATAGCACTGCTCCATTCTCTGGAATCTGTCCCACAACCCCTGAGGACAGAGCCTGCAACACTCAAATCTTAAAGATGCCAAAGTGTCAAGCAGGGATTACATCCGCACCACGCTCCACTGGCATCTTTAGACTCTGAGAGCAAGAGTCACCCTCCTACGGGGAAAGACAACTGCCATGACCGAATCTCTCGAGTGAACTGCCAAGTGTAGTTTCTGACCTCATCGATGTAACATTTAGAGCTTTCTAGACAGAGGGAAAGATCAGGTGAAAATATTTTTCTATTAAATCCATCAATTCTTCAACTACTAGCAAAATTAATAAAGATAAGTCAGGAAAAAGATAAAGTGCTATCACTGAATAACATGTAAATGACATGAGAAACTCCAATCACAAGCAGAGAAGAAATAAAGTATCAGTTGAGCATATAGGATGATGTCAGGCCCCACACACAACCACTTAGCTCTCTCTGATTTATAGTGCTACTTCTCTCATTTCTGACTTAAGCTGTTCCTTCCCCAATGAGCTTTTTCCTGGAGCTTTTTACTGTGTAATCATGCAACGTATGGGCACCACCAAACACAATAAGCTTTACAAATTTTGGCTTTTAAGAATCAACATGTTTGGGAACCCTGGGTGGTGCAGCGGTTTGGCGCCTGCCTTTGGCCCAGGGCGCGATCCTGGAGACCCGGGATCGAATCCCATGTCGGGCTCCCGGTGCATGGAGCCTGCTTCTCCCTCTGCCTGTGTCTCTGCCTCTCTTTCTCTCTGTGTGACTATCATAAATAAATAAAAATTAAAAAAAAATTTAAAAAAAAAAAAAAAAGAATCAACATGTTTTCTTTACATACTTCCAAAACAGATGCCGCCCCCCCCCCAACACACACACTGCCAACACAGAAGATTTTAGTAAAACATAAAGACTAAAAGGGAGTGGGCTGGGGGTTAGGTATTCAGAATCCTCACTTTGGGTTCCACTTGCTTATATATATGTCACTTCCCAGGCCTCAAAAAATTCTGTCCTGTGTGAAAATAAGAAAAATAAAAGAAGCCCAGTGAAGATACCAAGAACAGCAGTAAGAGCTTAAGACTGAGACAAGAGACCAGATCTAAATCCGAAGGGTTGGGTATAGGGGAGTCTAAACACTGCTCTGGGTGCATTTCTAAAATGCTGCGAATTATATAAGACAAATACCATGATAAAACTGAAAGTTTAAAACTGAAAATATGTTTTGTTTTGTTTTGTTTTAAAAGAGACCTAAGTAAAGGCAGTGTGTACTTGGGAGTATATGATTCCATCTAATTCTCGAGAGTCCTGTAGGGCTAAGCCAACTTCCTTATTCCAGCAAAGTGAGGCCTCAAGTCGAAAAAGGTTTTATTCTTCACAGTTTTGGAAAAAGGCATAGAAAAAGGTTTTAATGGGATTTAGGAGCAACCAAATGAAACATAAAGAGACAATCTGTTAAAGTACTTCAAGGTCCTGCCTGCTGACAGGCTCCGACCCCATACATTCATCGGACCTGCCCCCAGAATTTCAGAAACAGTAACAGCTGACTGGCAGGATACACATTTCCAAAGTTCTCCTTCCTCCTAAAGGTCTCATCTAGGTCAGCACTGTCACAGTGTGAACAGATCTGTGATATTTGACTCACCAGAGGAAAAGTCTCACCAGCCCTGAGATGCCCCCATGGTGAGGTGTCCTGAGACAACTGATCTGCCTCCAGATACTCACACTAGAAAAAGATTGTTTGGTTTTTATTTTCCCCAAAACAAACAGGGCTGGGGAGGGAGATGACGAGGCAAAGAAATGCACATACCTTTCAACTGATCAGCAACAACGCTCTGGCCAAGGCGTTCGGTAACTTTCCCATCTTCCATTTCATACCGATCATCTAGGTATTTTGCTGTGGCCTCAGAAATGTGAACCTTGCCGGCCACTCCCAGCTGCTCCATGAGATTGGCCAAGTTCACATCATTGGACCACACATCGAATTTGAACCTCCTCATCCCCAAGATGCCACACAAGACGGTCCCTGTGTGAACCCCGACACGCATGTTCACCATCTCTTTCTTCTCTTGGCAGAACTGCTCGATGGCTCTGATCATGCCCAAGCCCATCTCAATGCAGCAGTAGGCATGGTCAGCCCGGGGCTCTGGGCACCCCGCCACACAATAGTAGCAGTCACCCAGGGTGCTGATTTTCTCACACTTGGTCTCTTCACACAAGCGGTCGAAGCGACCAAACAGATCGTTGAGGAGACCCACCAGGGCATGAGCAGACTTATTGGCACTCATCTTGGTGAAGCCCACGATATCTGCAAATAAAATACTGACTTCTTCTATCTGCTGCATTTTGAAAGGGCGGAATGCTATAGGGGCTTTCTGTATGGAGGACTTTTTCTTCCTGTTCTTGGGGCTGGAGGTGGCATGCCTTTTGACAGAATTCTCGCTCTCCTCATCCCCCTGTTTCATCAGGTCATCAGCTATGATTCTTGGCATCACAGAATGAATCATCCTCTCTTTCAGGGCTTTTTCCACTTCCAGATCCTTTCCATGCATAATTGACTGTCCCACCTTGAGAAAGGTGCTCCTAGATCTCACCTGGGACATGATAAATAGGTGAACCCCAATGGCGTGGATGCAGACGTGAAGCAGGGCTCGGCTCAGCAGCTCCCAGTGTGGAGCCCCTGCTCCAGGTGGGGGAAAGCAGTCTTTGTCTCGGAAATGATAGCCAAAGGTCTCAAAGAGAACAGAATACACCACTCCCAAAAACAAGCTCAAGTACAAAGGTAAGTGCATGACAGTGTAGAGCAAAAAGAGCACTTCAATGCACATGGAAAAGCTCCCCACTTGAGATAAGCAAGTGTCTGTGCGCTTGGCTGCAAGGGTATGATTGGAGCTGTCAACACGTCCTGAGAGAGGCGTCAAAACCTGAAACTGGGCAGCCAGGGTCAGGGCGAACACCAGGAAGGTGAGAACCAGAGAGGTCCACACGTAATGCCGGGCATACAGCTTGGTGAAGGTAAACAGAAAAAAGCCCACACATACTACAAGGAAGCACAGAGCTGGGACCACCATGACAATCAGTCTGGACCGCATGTGTACCCCAAAATAGATGCTCCACAGGAGGCAGGCGAAGCCGATGTAGAAGAGCGCATACCGGAAGCGGCGCTGGGTCTGCGGGAAGCAGCGCTCCATGCAAGCCTCCTCCAGGTTCACCGAATCGAACTTGGGGTCCCACCACCGGCTGGAAGCCCTCTCGAACAGCTGGGGCAGCTTCTTCTGCCGGCGCAGGCGGCCTCCGGCGCCCGCTCTCCGGGGGACCCCTCCCGAGTCCCCAGAGCTGCTGCAGCTGGAGGAGATGCTGTACTTGCAGTGCTTGGGGTGGCTGTTGGAGGACAGCTGCCTGGGGTTGATTTTGACCCTCACGCTGTTGCTGTCTCCGCTGGAGTCGCAGCTCACCTCGGTGCTGTGGTGCTGCAGCAGCTGCTGGTGGGGCGGGGAAGCCATGTTGCCAAGCGCTCAGAACCCTCCCGGCGGGGGTCACGGGTACCTGTCGGCGAAGACAGCCAGAGTCACCCCGGCAGCGGTCCCGGCCCAGGTACACCCGCGCCTGAGGGCCGCGAGCTCGGCCGGCGGCCGCCGCCGAGGTCTGGTCAGGGAGGCACCGAGTGCTCACGAAACATCTAGGCGGGGCTCCCCCCCCACCCCGTCCCGCCCCGAGGCCGCCGGCCCCGGTCGGAGGGCGCCCCCTCGGCGCCCGCCCCCCCCCCCGCAAGCACTCGCCTGCTCCGGCCGCCGAGCCCCTCACGCCGCCAGCCGCCGTCGCCGGCACAGCCCTCCCGCCCGCGGCGGGCCCCTCATGCCGCGCGGAGCGGCGCCTCCCCTGCGTCAGAGGCCGGCTGCCCCGCGGGAGGCTGCGGGCCGGCGGCGACGAGCGGCAGCGAGGCCCCGGCGCCGGCGCGAGCCTGAGGAGCCGTCGGCGCGGCCCGTCTAGCGGGGCCTGCTCCCGGCCTCCGGGGCCGACCCAGCGGGGCGGGGATGCCCAGCGCGCCGGGAGACGCCGGGCGCCGAGCGCAGGGCGCGGCGGGCGCGGGCCCCTCAGCCGGCCGCCCTGCGCGGCGCTGCCGCAGAGCCCGCTCCCGCGACGCCGACCCGGGACGCCCGCCCACGCTCGGGGCGGCCTCCCGAGCTAGCGACGTCGCCGCGGCCGCGGCCGCCGCCGTGCCCCCCGCTGCCGCTGCCTCATGTCGGAAGAGCCGCCACAGCCGCCGCCGCCGCCGCCGCCGCCGCCGCCGCCGCCGCCACCATCTCCGGCCCCCTCCCCCTCCCGCTGTCACTGACAGACTCGCGCCCGCGCCGCCCCTCGCCCCGCCGCAGCGCGCACGCGCGACCCGCGCA